AGAGGATCTCTTTTCTCGGCATGGAGATAGACTCGGTCGCCATGTCCGCGCAGCTCACGAACGAGCGTGCGCACTCACTGCTGACTTGTCTTCGACAGTTCGAGGGCAAGAGTGCGGTTCCACTGAAACTATTTCAGAGGCTCCTGGGGCATATGGCATCCGCGGCCGCGGCAACGCCGCTCGGTTTGCTTCATATGAGACCGCTTCAGCTGTGGCTTCGCGATCGAGTCCCGAGGTGGGCATGGCATCGCGGCTCGCTCCGAGTTCCAGTGACTCCAGTGTGCCGCCGAACCTTCTTCCCGTGGTCGAACCTCAGCTTCTTACGGACCGGCGTCCCTATTCAGCGAGTTTCCAGGCATCTCGTTGTCTCCACGGATGCATCTACCACGGGTTGGGGTGCCATGTGCAATGGGCATGCAGCCGCCGGTTCCTGGACAGGAGCCCAGCGCCTCATGCACATCAATTGCCTCGAGCTGTTGGCAGTACGGCTCGCCCTACACCGCTTCCGAGCGTTGCTCAAGGGCCAGCATGTGCTTGTCCGCTCAGACAACACTACGGCAGTAGCGTACATCAACCACCAGGGGGGTCTACGCTCACGCCAGTTGTCGCAGCTCGCCCGCCACCTCTTGATATGGAGTCAGAAGCACCTGAGGTCCCTTCGTGCAGTTTACATTCCTGGAGACCGGAACTGGGCAGCCGTCGAGCTGTCCCGGGTCCGCCCCATCTCCGGCGAATGGCGACTCCATCCCCAGTCGGTCCAGCTGATTTGGGACGAGTTCGGGGAGGCACAGATAGACCTGTTCGCCTCTCGGGACTCGTCCCACTGCGCCCAGTTTTATTCTCTGACCCGCGGCACTCTCGGCTCGGATGCGCTGGCGCACAGCTGGCCACGGGGCCCACGCAAGTATGCGTTTCCCCCTGTGAGCCTCCTTGCACGGGTGTTGTGCAAGATCAAGGAGGACGAGGAGCAGGTCTTGCTGGTAGCCCCCTACTGGCCCACCAAGACGTGGTTCTCCGATCTCTTGCTCCTCGCGACAGCACCTCCTTGGCCTATTCCTCTGAGACAAGACCTACTCTCTCAGAGACGGGGCACTCTGTGGCACCCTCGTCCCGATCTTGGAGGCTGCACGTGTGGCTCCTGGACGGCACGAGGCAGGTTTGAGTTCGCTGCCACCTGCGGTGGCGGCAACCATCACTTCCGCAAGAGCGTCGTCCACGAGACACCTTTATGCGTTGAAGTGGAACCTCTTCGTCAATTGGTGCTCTTCTCGCGGAGAAGACCCCCGGAGATGTTCGATCAGTGTCGTGCTTTCCTTCCTGCAAGAGGGGCTGGAGCGCAGGCTGTCGCCCTCCACCCTTAAGGTTTACGTCGCGGCCATTGCCGCTTCTCATGAAGCAGTGGAAGGTAGTCCTTAGGGAAGCACGACCTGGTCATCAGGTTCCTGAGGGGAGCGAGGAGGCTGCATCCGCCTCGTCCTCCCCTCGTACCCTCTTGGGACCTCTCGGTAGTTTTAGTGCTCTGCAGAGGCATCCCTTTGAGCCTTTGCAATCGGTAGAGTTAAGTTTCTGTCCATGAAGACAGCACTCCTGGTTGCATTGGCCTCCATCAAGAGGGTGGGGGACCTGCACGCATTCTCCGTTGACGAAGCGTGCCTGGAGTTCGGGCCGGCTTACTCTCACGTGATCCTGAGACCCCGGCCTGGATATGTGCCCAAGGTTCCCACCACTCCCTTCCGGGACCAGGTGGTGAACCTGCAAGCGCTGCCCCGGAGGAGGCAGACCCAGCCTTGGCACTGCTCTGTCCGGTACGTGCTCTCCGCACCTATGTCGACAGAACGCAGTGTTTCAGGACCTCAGACCAGCTCTTTGTCTGTCATGGAGGGAGCCAGAAGGGAAGGGCTCTCTCAAAGCAACGGCTGTCCCACTGGATAGTGGATGCCATTGCTTTGTCTTACCAGCAGCAAGGCCTTCCGTGCCCCCTTGGTGTGACGGCCCATTCCACTCGGAGTGTAGCCTCCTCTTGGGCTTTAGCGCACGGCGCCTCGCTAACAGACATCTGCAGAGCTGCAGGCTGGGCGACACCCAACACCTTCGCCAGATTCTATAATCTGCGAATTGAGCCGGTATCCTCTCACGTACTCGTTTCGGCCAGTTCTGGATCCGCTCAGGTGTCTTCGCTTGCTCGCCACTCCACTCCCCGGACTGGATAAGTGCGATATTTCCTCAGTTCTTCCATTGAAGCCTTGAGTCCTCCAGCACCGACGATGCGGGCACCACTGCTGTGGCTCTGGATGCTGGCTAGGTGCCTCCATGCGTACGGTTCCCCCTTGGTAACCGTCTCATGTGTATTATCCACTGTAAGCCTCTCTGAGCATGTGTCTTCCCTTGGCAAGCCATCTGCCACCCTGGAGCTGAAATTAGTAGCCACCTGCGGTTGGTGCTCCAGTGATTCCATATGTGTTCCTATGTGGCCATATGTGTATTCGTAAGTCCTCCCTTCGGTAGGCAGCTGGTAGCATGTCCCCTTCGGGATATGTTTCCCAGTGTACCTTGGTAATCCTGTGTCTAAGTCGGATCCCCTAAGGTAAACAGGTAAGGCTCGGGGGTTCAGACTTTCGCAGGGCACTGGAAGACAGCCTGAAGTTGGCGTGATGGCACAGACCCCCAATCTCCGTCACTTCTGACGTAACTCGAAGTGACTACGAAAGGGAACGTCTCGGTTACGTATGTAACCCTCGTTCCCTGAGTAGGGAACGGAGACGTTACGTCTCCCTGCCACTTCTGCTGTATCGCTGGGTAGATGCCGAGTTCAGTCTTGGCTCCTCAGCGAAGACATACTGCGGTTGCGTTCACTTCCTCCTTTTATACTCACGGAGTAGGGCGGAGTACGCTATGCAAATTTCCGCAGCCCCAAGGCATTGCATGCCATTGGCTCGTGTTTAAATACTCGAAGAGGATTGGCTTTCTATGCGAAACCCCCAATCTCCGTCACTTCTGACGTAACGTCTCCGTTCCCTACTCAGGGAACGAGGGTTACATACGTAACCGAGACGTTTTTGATGAAAACATTCCAGGGTTTTTCTCCATATAATGGACTTCAATGGGAACCAAACGGTTCAAGGTCCAAATGAGAGTTTCAGTGCAGCTTCAAAGGGCTTTAAACGACACCAGACGATGAATAAGGGCCTTAAAAAAGATTTTGATGAACGAGTTTGAACAGGAGAGTTACAGTACAAACCCTCATCACAGAACAGAGCAAGGTGAGCATTTTTTCTTATAAAACTTAAACTTTGTTTTTTATTTTTTAAATGAGCGATCATTTCGCTAGATAAGACCCTTATTCATCGTCTGTTGTCGTTTAAAGCCCTTTAAGCTGCACTGAAACTCTCATTTGGACCTTGAACTGTTTGGTTTCCATTGAAGTCCATTATATGGAGAAAATCCTGGAATGTTTTCATCAAAAACCTTAATTTCTTTTCGGCTGAAGAAAGAAAGACATGGACATCTTGGATGACATGGGGGTGATTTTTTTAAAGTGAACTACTCCTTTAATTTTGTCCATTGCTCTCATCAACATCATCAACTGCATATAACGCAACACTGTATTTCCTCCTCCTGTGGAGAAAGAGACATTAGACTGACAGTTCCTTCTGTTTGTTTTGCTGCCCCCCTGGCAGTGGCATCTGCAGCTTGGTTTTCCTTGGATTCAGACGAGTCGTCCTTTGAGTGTCCTGTTACTTTAATAACAGCTCCTTCTGTAGGGAGAGGACATGAATCCATTAGTTAAACGACCTGCTGTTGGTGACAGATAGGAAGTCCAGCTGTAGTTTCAAAAATCCTGTGTTTCCACACGGGTCTGAAATCATGTATCACTTTACATGCTATCTGTGTACACATTGACCCTTTTTTGGTTGGTTTTGACATTGGCTGTCATGAGGCCATTATAACATTTTTGACCTCAACTACAGTGGTACAAATTGAATTTGTCATTAAAATGTTATAATGGCCTCATGACAGCCAATGTCAAAACCAACCACATGGCAGTTTAATGTAATGTTAACCCATAAAGCTAAGTGCTTTCTTAAAGGTGTCACACGTTTTTTAGGCCCAAACATTTTTTGTCACATACAGCAAACATCTCTTCACTATCCGCTAGCTGCCTGTCCCCTAAACACACTGTAAAAAAAAAAAACTTTGCAGACAACCTTTGCAGTCTATCTAGCCTCCGTTTTGTTTGAAAATATTTTAAGCGCCAACAAGAAGTCACGTCACCCGACATCACTTAGAGCACCTTTAAGTTTGATAATTAATCTGCTATATCATGTTTATGACAGGTTGTGTTGTCTTAGTAATGTCAAGTTGTCATGACAAAGACACTGCAGGTTATGATGTATTGGTTTATGTCAAGTTGTCATAACTACATCTCAAACAATGTCATATTTGCTTTAAAAATGTCATAATTGAGCGAACGACACTTAATGACAGTTGGCATAAACATGCATAAAACCTCCTTCATATTCATGATGTGCCATGTCATGATTATGAAGGGGTGATGTCAGTCATGCACACCCCTTCAAGTAAAGTGCTACCTATACATGTTTTTGCCTGTATATAGTGTCTTGCCTTCAATGACAAAAAAGCAACATAAAAACACTAACTTGTCAATCTGCTAAACTAAACAAAACAGAAGGAGAAGAGAAGACTGAAATCTAGCTTGTCATATTTTAAATGAAAATTCTGCCAATATGACGTACTTATTCTCATGTCATTCCTAAACTGTGTGGATTTCTGAATTCAACACACAAGAAGATATTTTAAAGAATTTTGGTGTCCAAACAACATAATTGTCTTTCATCGTACGGACAATGTCAAAACACTGATGCATTTTTCGAAATAACTTTTTTGTGTGTTCCAAAGGTTTGGAATAGCATTAGAGTTGTTGTTCCAATCTTCTCTCCTACTTCTCGGTAATATTTTGTACTCCTCGTTCTTCTACACAGGCTAAACCTGTGGCATTTGCAGTACGTACTAATGTTGGCTACAGCGCCTCCCTTGAAGATGATGTCCCTGTGCCTGGAATGGGAATATCATTTGAGGCTAAAGATTTCCTTCATGTTAAAGAAGTTTGTATACACACACATATTCATATTCACATATATACAAAAAATTGAATAATTATTACGGTTTAATGCTGAACAAACCTGAACAAATCAAATTAATACCGTACTAATACTCAAAATACATCATGTATCACGGATTCATTTACACATATGAAACAATTGTTTATGGCCAATTCTGAAACAGATTTTTACTTTGTAAGGTTCTGTGAGATTGTTATTGTATACTTTGTGTGTTTAATGACAGAAATTTAATAACGACTGGTGGATTGGTCGCTTGGTGAAAGAAGGGTGTGACATTGGCTTCATCCCAAGTCCAGTGAAGCTTGAAAACACTCGCATCCACCAGGAGCAACGTGCAAAACAAGGAAGATTTTACTCAAGGTATCTGTTCCACAAACGCGCTACATAAAGTTCTTAACCAAACAAAATGTTACAGAAAATCTAGCTTTGACACACAGAACTAGATTTAGACTGCATTTCTCAAAGGCATTCCTTGTGAAAAAGAAATGCACTTAAATGTATTGAATGTGGACTTGTATTGTACTTAAATCTTAAAAGTATATATATTTTTTAAAAGTGTACTTGCTGGTAATGTATTATTGAAAAAAAAATGCCACTTAAGTGTGCTTAAAGAGTACGCTTTCATGATTTTAAGTACACTTTAAAAAGTGGACTTTGTAATTATGTCAAATTAAGTTCATTTCTGTAATAAGCAGTCTTTTGCTTTAGATTTAGAGTGTGTACGCCTTACGCCTTATTCACGGCAGCGCCATCTTTGATTTTTAATGAGAATGAAAGCGAGGCTGTGAGGGATAGTCATGCATCTCTTCAATGGGCTGTACTGTTATTTAATGTGTTTTCGGATTGTTCTGCTCATGAAACACTGAAAAAATATCTTTCCAAGAAATTTCAGTTGACAAAAAGCTCCCGACAATGTAAGCTGTGGAAAATTGTAAGTATCTAGCAGTTTTATTCAGCTTTTTACAGCGGATGCCATTGGAAACACGGTAAGTCTATCCCTCACAGCCTCACTTTCATACCTGTCATGGCGCTGCTCTGAATAAGGTGTATTGGAGCCAATGTTTTCTAGAATGTACTTAGACTTATGATGCCTTTAATCTTAGCAATTGATGAAAAAAAAAAACAGCTCAGATCAGTTTTAATGGCTTTATCCAACGCGTTCTCATCCCAAAGCGCCATATAGGATGCTTTTGCAAAAGCGTTAGGGTCTGTTTACACGACACCATTTCAACTGAAACTGGTAAACTTTTCTTGCGGTTTGGCCGCTCATTAACATGACAGGAGGCCTGAAAACGCAAACTTTTAAAAACAGGGTTCAAAGTGCACGTTTTTGAATATGATATCGTTAGTGCCTCCATATAAACAAACAAAAAAAATGCTTTACATGTTCAGTCTATCCACAAGTTTCCGAGGGGCGCTCTTGTAAAAAATAAAGTGGGTGAAACTTCCGGTAAGGCGGCGGAAGTAGCATTCCAATGGTATTTTGTGTGTTAGTTAGCGAAGAGGGTAGCTGTTTTTCGGATAATTATTTTACTATTTGAAGACGCAAATCTTACGGAGCTCAGGGACAACATGTGCTGTTCGCGGTTGTATGTATAACCAGACTAAACTAATTCAGTGGCTTAAACGTGATTGTTTTGAACATAAGCTGAAAACGAAATCAGAGTGATCCTGCCAGAGCCCGTCTCTGATCCTGCCAACGACTGTAGTTTCCATCACCTCCCAAAAGACGACGAATCTTCCTGTGTACATTTGTTTAAATTCTTAATATTCTATAAACTCTATCAGCATGTGATACTGTTCGCTACTGATGTTACAGCTAAACTCAGGATCAAAGCCTGAGTTGACATAATACCAAATGTGCCAGTTAATGTATTCAAGTAGCACATTCATTTAGAATTTTGAATAAACTCCAAAGCACAATGACTAAGTGTGTATTTTTTATTTTAATTGTTTGTCAGCTCGCACAACTGTCTGTCACCATGCCTTGATGAGTATTGATTATTAATAATGTTATTATAATACTCCCATCCAACTACTGCGGAGGGTAAAGGTACTGTTATTTCACCCTTTTTAATTTCGTTGAGGTTGAGTTCTCACATCGTCAGCTAGTTTGGATCGTTATAACTTGAATGACTGTCAACTGCTGAATGAACGAGTGTCAAGCATGTCAAGTCGCGCTTTGTTTACTTCCAACCGGAAGTCGCGCCCACTTTTGACGCAAGGCCTCATGGGGCGTAGGAAACTTGTGGATAGTCTACAGCCTGTAGTCTTTCTTTAAAAAGTGATATCGCCAACTACTGGCCTGGCAGCAGAATACAGTGTTTTAATCGTTTTTGTGGATCCCTGATAGCGGAGATCGATTTGACAACGTTGTCGTCTGTACGTGAAAAAGGCAAAGGAAAACGTTTCTCTGTTTAGTACATTGTTGTCGTGTAAACGCGCCCTTAAACTGTCGCTCAGTTGGTCTAAACCTACTTAGCTGGTCTAAGCTGTGTGTTCAGAGCACTCTTAAATACATAAAAGAAGAAAAATATACACCTTAAACCTTTCTTTTTTATTAATTGATTGTATGTTATTTTTCTTCACAGTAAATCAGGGGCAAACTCTTCATCTAGTTTAGGAGACATAGTTTCAAACTCACGTAAATCAACCCCTCCCTCCTCAGGTAAGTCATCAAAATTGGGTTAAATCAATGTTATATTTCCAACATTATTCAGTGCATCAAATTAATTTGATTTTTGATGCACTTAGTACATTATATTATATGTCACATCAGCGCAGTCTCATCCCAAGACGTCATACACGTCAACATCCGCCGTTTTAGGGTTCCCTTAAACGTCGGTTAGATGACGTTATCTAATCCTAACCCTACCCCAGACCTAAACCTACCTACGTCATCTAACTGACGTTAAAGGTAAAGCGTCAGTTGTATGACGCCCCAGGATCGTCATCTAACTGACGTTAAAGGGTACCCTAAAATGGCGGATGTTGACGTATGGTCAAAAGCGTCAGTTGTATGACGTCTTGGGATGAGACTGTGTTAGTCACATTATATTATATTTTAGTTTTCAACACATTCTCTGCCCTGGTCAAACAAATTCTAGATGAATGTGAACAGGATTCACTTTTAGGAATTTTCTATTGTAGCATGGAACTAATCTTTTAGTTATAATTTATTATCATAAATCAGTCTAGGCTTTATCAGCAAAGGTTTTTGGTCATTGTGCAAGCATTGAAAGCGACAAACTCAAAGCAACAAAGGGGAAACTATCTTAATGCTGAGAGTTTGTTAAAGCTAACAATCCTGGGGACTGTGGAGAGTTAACATTTGAGATAAGATTGGAGGAAGAAAGCATTACAAGAAAATATTTTAAAAGGTAAGTTGCTCTGTCAGCTTCTGAAGTACAGCCTGGTAAACTGGGATGAAGATATTTCTTCAAATGATGAGAAAACACTATTTGATTTGAGAGTAGTAAACCAATAATGAGTGAGGAGCCAAATGTGTGAGGGAAGCTGGACTTGCTCCTCCTAAAGTTTTGTTTGTTTGAATGGATACTCCATCCTGAAATAAAAGATTCTGTGAACATTCACTTACTCTCAAATGCCTTAAAAACTTTCTTCTGCTGAGCATAAAAGATGATGTCTTTTTGTGTGTACAATGGGCTTCAGTGTTGTTTGGTTCCCATGCAGCCTTCTCCAAAATGACATTTTTTGTGTTCCTCAGAAGAAAGAAATGCATACAGGTTTGGAACCACATGAGGGTGAGAATGACAGAATGTTCATTTTTGGGTGGACTATCCCTTTAATAAAACCATTTTGTATAATGTTCGAATCCTATTAGACAATTCCAGTTAAAATCCTTAAGGATTGATTGCAAATTAAATTATTATTATTATTTTTTACTAGAGCATACTGAAACACTTGTTGTTTTAACAAAGTGTGCTTAACTGTGTTGAATGTGTGCTTGTAGTGTACTTAAACTTTATTTGCAGATAATATAATATTAATAAAATAAAAGGTCACTTAAGTGCATTTTAAAGAAAGGAAATGTTCTTGACTCTGTCTTAACACACTTAAGTACACTTTTAAAAAGTCCAATCTGTAATAAGGTCAAATAATCATATAATCATTTAATTACATTTAAAGTTAAAATATTTTAAATGTGTAAATTGCAACTTCATCTACAAATGCGTACAAATATATTTAATTACACAAGACATTTCAATACAAATTACATTAAAGTACATTTTAGTTTACCATCAATGCTTGTCAGTACATTCGACAGTACACTTCAGCCATATTTCAAAGACCATGGATCTAATTAATTACCATAGACTGTAAAATATAGGTAATTACATGTAAAGATGTACTTAAGTCCTACTTAAGTGGGTCAAAAAAAGAAATTCAGCAAATTGCATTTAATATAAATGTATCACTTTAATTGCAGTTAATACTCGCACTGTAAAAAAATATTTTCAAGATTTGCTATCACAACATTTTTTCTTTTGTAAAATCAACTTTATAATCAATTATTTAGTTGAGATAACTTATTATTTTGAGTTTCTGATGATTAAATTAATCTCCTTCATTGTATTAACTCACTTTTTCCAGTTCAATCAACTTAAAATTTTAAGGCAACCCAGGTTACTTACTTTAAGTTAAACCAACAATATTTTTTTACAGTGTCATCACAACATTATTTTTTCTTTTGTCAAATCAACTTAAATAATTTATTTAGTTCAGATAACATATAATTTTGAGTTTCTGATGATTAAATCATTCTCCTTCATTGTATTAACTCACTTTTTCCAGTTCAATGAACTTAAAATTTTAAGGCAACCAGGTTACTTACTTTTTTAAGTTAAACCAGCAATAATTGTTTACAGTGGTTAAGTGTTTGTAACCATTTACAGTTCATTCAGTTTGCACTTAAGCATATTCTTTTAAAGTATATTATTTCCATAAGTATATCTAATAATATATGAAGAGTTCAGATGCAAAAGCCTCTAAATGCCATTTGAAATTTTCTTCTTCAATGATGTTTTTTATCAAACTTGTATATTTAAGTTCAGTAATTTCATTTAAATGGCAATGATAATTACCTATTAATTGTTATTTAAGTAAAATTACTGAACTTAAATATACAAGTTTAATAAAAATCATCATTAAAGAAGAAAATTTCAAATGGCATTTAGAGGCTTTTGCATCTGAACTCTTCATATGTACTTTTTCACTAGGGTCTGCTTTTAATGAAATGCAGTATTCTTATGTTTATGTTCAAGTACCAAATAGTTGTAAATTGTTGTCTTATGAAGTGTTGTTTTAAAATGAATGTTGTGCATTTACAGGAGTGTGTCTCTTACGGTCTATATGAATTCCCCCTTGTGTTTTGCTGAGGCTCATATGTAAGTGTGTGCATTTATATATGTGTGTTTAGCTGTGGACATAGATGCTGCAGGGTTAGATCCAGAGGAGAGTGACCCTCCTCCCCATCAGCGTTCCCCCAAAGCCAGCCCAAACACAGTAATATCCCCTTTAGCCCGTGAGAAACGAATGCCTTTCTTTAAGAAGGTAAAGCTTGCCGATGGACGCTCCCTCGTTCTTCATGTGCCGTCACCTACACAGCAGCAGCAGCAGCTTCTGTTCTCTTTGTCATTGTCTCAATGTTCATGCCATCTTATTCTTTCCCTTCTCTCTCCCTGGCTTTTCTTTGTTCCTCTGTACCCCCTTGATCTTTTCCTTTTTGTCTGTTTCTCTTCCTCCTTTCCTCAGCTATACAGAGGCATAAGTCGGTAAGTTAGGTCAGAGAACCATGCAGTGTTTTCCTGAGGCTTGCTGCCGGTCATTCCTGTTCTGCAGTACCTGTGCTTGTGCTGTAGTTTATTCATGATAGCTTTTTGTTTTTTACACAATGGAAAAATTGTACAGGATGCCTAAGAGGAAACAGAAATAAAGAGCCATTGCTGAGGCATATATGTAACAGTGAAACCAACTTGCACCATAAAACATCTCTGAAGGCGCAAACACATTTTCTGATTTCACAGTCAATTCAGTTATTTCAATAGAAATCCACTTTTGGTGGAGTTTTGTGAAAAAGTTCCCCACGCAGTTTACGCTCATGCAGGGGCGTAGAATTTAGTAGGGATGGTAAGGACGTGTCAGTGACACTGTAAACCATTCGCTAGCAATAATTTCGACCAAAACTTAAAATATATGTATATATTGATGTCCCCGTCCCCACCAATTTCAAAATCAAACCTACGCCACTGCACTCATGTTTAAGTTTGTCACACAAGTTCACTGAAACAAAACCACTAGAAAGTCTTTTTTTTTGCCTGTGAAATTGTGACTGTGAAAAGTGACTACACCTTAATACACTCTTCAAAATAAAAGTTCCAAAAGGGGGTTTGGCATAGAACAGGGGTGTCCAATCCTGCTCATGGAGGGCCACTGTCCTGCAGAGTTTAGCTTCAACCCCAGTTGACCCTTTGCAGGGAGCTTGATTGACAGGTGATCTGACGAATCATACTTCGCCATCCGCCATTTTGTCCGACAAAGCAGTCAGGAGAGTTAGTAGATTAACATGGGAGGATTTGAACTTGAAAAACGGAATGTACTGACCATAGACAGTATAAGTGGACAGAGTCATCCATTGAGACAAGTGAAGCCCTTTTTGGCGTTCCGTTCCTGACGCGCAGAATCAAACCAACTCAAACAGAGCTTGATGACATAGATGTGACGTGAGCAACCCGTTTGTAGTGGCTGTGGCATGAGAAATCTGAATCATTCCCTTCCGAAACATGCAGAGGCGGAGAGTGTAAGTAGGAGGTCTCCATGAGCTAGGAGCAGGAGAAACTTTTGCAAGATATTCTGATTAATTATTTTGTCATTTTGCCTCCACGTTACCCTGATTGGCCGCGAGCTTCTCCTCCTGTCCATACGGTAATATCTCTACTGTGCGACAGAGAGTCGCTTGGTTATGACTCAATCGTTAGCCTACTTTACACAAAAATGCTTCTACACGGCCATAACATAAGCTACAAGGTAATGGAGCATTTTATACATTGTCGTGTTTCTTTAGAAATAAATAATGGACAAATCGGGTCTTCAAACGCCTCAGAAGTAAAGTTATTCGCTGTCAAAGTGACGCCAAAATGAATGGGAGTCAATGTAAATGCTAACGCAAGTAAAGTTCTGTTACAAGATGGCAGCTATCGCCAGGCTTCAACTTCCGGTCGATGGATTACCCCCTTGGTACTGACGACTTTCTGCGGTAAAAACAACATTCCTTCTAATGTTCATTCATCTTTATTTGATGCTATAAATGAACTAGAAGGAAGAGATGATTGGATCACGAGCAGCTTTAACTGATGCTCTACAGCGATCTGTCACGACATATTAAAGAGCCACAAAACGGTATTTATTGTTTAAATTTCTTTTAAAAAATCACTAAATTTGAAAGGTGAAACTTTGTTTAATATGTTTAATTTCAAAAGTAACCGAAGAGTAACCTGGTCTGTCAGCGTGTTGTCAGTCCACGATGTATTTTTCAATGCGTGAGAACATGGTGTGTGTGTGAGAGAGAGCAGCGTAGCTTGTCGGACATAGCGACATTAACTAAGGGGGGCGGGTCTTTGCGAACAATCTTATTAAGATCTTATAGGCATACGAGAAACTTCCAGGCAGGTGTGTTGAGGCAAGCTGGAGCTAAACTGAGTTTGGACACCCCTGCCATAGAAGAACCATTTTTGGTCCTTCAAAAACCCTTTCAGTGATCAGTTCTTAAACAAAAAATTATAAGTGTGATTTTTTTTTTTTTTTTGTGAAACCTTTTGTGCATTGAAAAGGTTCCATGCATGTTAAAGGGTTAGTTCACCCAAAAATGAAAATTAAGTCATTAATTACTCACCCCCATGCTGTACCAACCCCGTAAGACCTTCGTTCGTCTTCGGAACACAAATGAAGATATTTTTTATTAAATTTGAGAGCTGTATAACTACCACATTGGCTCCTAAGGGACTGCCTCTTGACGGCCCAGAAAGTCAATGAAGAAAATGTTTAAATATCCCAAGTGACTACCGTGGCTCAACTATATGTTTATCAAGCGACGCGAATACTTTTTGTGCGAAAAAACAAACAAAAATAACGAGTTTATTCGACTATTTCTTTTCTTCCTTGTAGGCCAGAAACGAGACTTCCTTAGATTTCCACGACGCATGCGTGAGAATTGCGATCTGCTTACACCAGCTTACACTACTTCAGATCGCAATTCTCACGCATGCGTCGTGGAAATCTAAGGAAGTCTCGTTTCTGGCCTACAAGGAAGAAAAGAAATAGTCGAATAAACTCGTTATTTTTGTTTGTTTTTTCGCACAAAAAGTATTCGCGTCGCTTGATAAACATATAGTTGAGCCACGGTAGTCACTTGGGATATTTAAACATTTTCTTCATTGACTTTCTGGGCCGTCAAGAGGCAGTCCCTTAGGAGCCAATGTGGTAGTTATACAGCTCTCAAATTTAATAAAAAATATCTTCATTTGTGTTCCGAAGACGAACGAAGGTCTTACGGGGTTGGTACAGCATGGGGGTGAGTAATTAATGACTTAATTTTCATTTTTGGGTGAACTAACCCTTTAAAGTTTCCTCATGGAACCATAAATGCCACTAACCTTTATTTTTAAGAGTGTACAAGAGATGTTTGTGCTGTTGTTTTGCACCAAATGGCATAGGCTATGAAAGATGAAAAATTTCACACCTTATGTTTAGTTATTTATAAGAAGAGTAACTATTATAATCTGCTATGTATCCTACTCCTTGAGAGCCATATCTTTATTATATTATCTATATTAAGAAATGAAAAGTCCGACAGGAATGATCGGGTGGCCACTTCCTAGTAACCCTGTGTGCGTCTCCTTTCTGACATTTCTCTTATACAGCTTTAAATTTGCATTTGTTGTGTGTGCATGTTTAAACAATTAAATTATTATTTATACAATTCTGTACAAAATTGCATTTATAATAATTTTCTAATAACAGTGCTGTTATAAAAGCTTGATATTAACAAATCCTATTACTAATCTCCCCAGTATGTTTGAAACATCTGATTTGTATGTAAATTGTGTCAAACTTAATTTGAGCACAGGCAAAAAAAAAAAAAAATTATTTTAATTAAATGAAATAATTAGCTATACAGCCATGTAAGAACAGGACATACTCAGCCTGCGGATATTAAATTTGACACTTGCAATGTAGATTTTGAACTTGAATATGGATAATTCGTATTTGCAATCAAATACAAATGTTATCCCTCATAGATGGTATTGTAAATGGGGTGTTCTGTGTTTGTATGCTGTGAGGTGTGTATGTATGCACACATCAGAGGTTAATGTTGTGTTTTTGTGGTGCTCTACAGACAGAGCACATTCCTCCATATGATGTGGTGCCCTCTATGAGACCAGTGGTGCTAGTTGGACCCTCGCTCAAGGGCTACGAGGTCAGGTGCTGCAAAAAGCATTGTGACTTCATTTGAGAAGATATTTAAAGGCTAATTCACCCAGAAATTAACTTATGTCACTCAAATCTCTTATCATGTGTTTATTTATTTAGCAGAATGTCCAAGCTGCTCTTTTCCATAAACTTAATGTACTGTCGAGGTGTACAGTAAAACTTATAAAACATTGCAAAGATAGGTTGTTTTAAGGGAAATCAGGTAGCACTAAAAATAAATGCACTGTACAATAACATGTCCATGGCCTTTTGTTGTAGTTTTGTAAAATTTATAAAGAAAAACAGGTAACATTTTACAATAAGGTTCCATTAGTTAACATTAGTGAATGTATTAACATTAACATTGAGCAATACATTATACCATTTTTTTCATTTTCGTTAACGTTAGTTCTTCAAAAATACAACTGTTCATTTGTTCATGTTAGCTCTGGTCCATTAAACAGTATTAACAGATACAACTTTTGATTTTAATAATGTATTAGTACATGTTGAAATTATTAACTACTTTAGAAGTATTTTTCACTGGTAGATTATATGTAGTTAACTGATGTAAGTTCAGTAGTTACTGAAAAATGTATATCTTCGGTGCAAACGGTCACCATTCATTTAGTTTTTCACAATTTTGTTTTTTTGTTTTTTCAAAAAAATTTTTAGCTTTAGCTTTGTAGGCTACTGTATGGATTTATAATATATAATAGGAGTATATATATATATATATATATATTATAATATAATATATAATATGAGAAAGTGTTTGCAATGTTTTGTCATTGAATTTAAATTCTTGAAATAGAATATCAGCTACCACAATTATATATACCTGTTTGATTCAGCAAAAACAAAATTAAATAATAATAATAAAACATTACATTTTGTTTTAATATGTTCATTGAGGTTCACTTATGCTAATGTAAAAAAAAAAAAAAAAAAAAAAAAAAAAAAGTGATTATTTTCATTCTGGCCCTGTCTGAAATGATCTGTTTTTTAAGGGGCGGCTCAAACCGTATTAAAAACCTCTGTCAAAAGATCAAAGCAAATCTGATTTCTCATCCCTTTAAGAAATAAACTTCAATTTAAGTAGTGACATTCATCTTAAAGAACAGATCTGTAATATTTAATATTATTATTAATATAATTTTACATTCTGTAAGAAGTTTTTGGATCTTTATGTCAGCAGTGTTTGAATTTGTTACCCTGATTACTCTTGATAAAACATAAGAACGTTATTTTGTTCTCTAAATAATGTCTGTAATTGTGTTAAAACTATTTCATGTGTATAAACGTAAAACCCCTAAAACTTTTGCGCTACACTTCAAGTCTTCTAAAGTCTTAGACTGGTTTTCACTGAAAATCCTGCCATCTGCACTAGCTCTCCTGATGTCTTCAGCATACACTTTGAAAAGAGAAACCTGGACATTTTGCTTATCTAGTGTGTGTATCTAACTGGCAAATATTATACATATGGTCAGTGACACAAATTTGAGTTGGTAGTGGCTGTTTTGGGTGAACTATTTCTTTAAATGTCATAAATCTCCATGCATCATTATTCTTGTCTTTTTAGACATGCTCAGTATTTAAGAGCTTTAAATACATTTTATTACCTATTACTTCATTATTCATATTTACACTTAATTGTCAACCATTTGGATCTATGTTGGCTTTATGAATGTGCTGGAAATACAATGTGCAAAAGTTAAGGCTAAGGCAAGAACAAAACAAAAAAAACTTGACAAGTTCCATTTGTGTGTGTAAACAGGTTACAGATATGATGCAGAAAGCGCTGTTTGACTTTCTGAAGCACCGCTTTGAGGGAAGGTAAGTCTTCAAGCCGTTTCTCTTCGTCCTTCACCCTCCTTAGGGATAGTTTATATATTTGTGTGTGTATGTCACGTGAGTGTTCAGTGTTTCTTAAAATAGTCACATCTCATTGCCTTAATTGGCCATGCTGGTCCATAAACACAGCTGGGTCACATGCTTGTACCTTCCCTTGACTGCAGTTTTCCCGACACGAGTCATCACTGCTCTGTATTTCCAGTATGACATTTAAAAAAAAATCTATTGGTGAATGTTTTCATTTTGGTTTCAGTTCATTTTGAAATCTTTTTATTAACTCTATCCTGACCCAATGATCAAAATTAATTATCCCGACCATATCATACTAATATTTTTTCATCTGTGACATGTATATGTAAAGTCATGTACAATGGATGCAAAGATACTAATTTAATGTTTTCTTCTAGTATCTCCTAGGCATATACATAAAAGACTGGATAGAGAGAAACAGATGTGTGCAATGACTAATTCCACTGTAGTTTAAATGGAAAGCTTGTAAAAACTAGTGTAAATCTAAGAAAGCATCAGAAAACATTGTGTTTAATGCATTTTAAATATTAGTATTCCATAGCCGAATACACAGAAGCTATTTACGTAGTTCTAGATCTAGATTCAGGACATTGGTAATTATACTGCTCTCACTGTCTCTTTCACCCTTCTTGTTTTCTGTAACTCAGGATATCAATCACAAGGGTGGCTGCTGATATTTCTCTGGCCAAGCGTTCAGTGCTGAACAACCCCAGTAAACACGCCATCATTGAGCGCTCAAATATACGCTCCAATTTAGGTCAGTGAAAGTGTTTGAATTTATTTTTTTATTTGGTATGATGGTTTGATGTGAATGACCAAGAAATGAAATATTTTGAAAAAAATATTGATATATACTTAATAAATATAATATAATTAATATTACTGTCAGAAGTAAATTAGAATATTTGTTTTATTTTTTTAATATATATATATATATATATATATATATATATATATATATATCCTTAATCAACTCCCCTGGTGTAACGATCACCAGCTGGAGTACCCTTGAGAGCCACCAGAGGGTGCTCCAGATAGACTATGATCACTTCCTCAAAAACTACATTTCCCATCACGCACTGCCCGGACTCATTATCACCTGCGTCTCATCACCTTGTTTGTCTCTGATTGCATTCATCTGTTTCTCATCACCCTGTTAGTCCCTGTCTATTTATTCCATGTTCAAACACTCACTCAGTGCGTAGTTTTGTTTTAGTGTTACACTGCAATTCTGAGCATTCTTGTGGTTTTCTTGTCTCTTGGTTTTTTTTGGATATCTTGCCCTGTTTCCTGGATTACTCTCTTGCCTCTGGTCCCTGCCTGTTTGGTTTGTTTCTCTGTGTATCTGTTTTGGACTGCCTACCTGTGTATGACCCTTGCCTGTACATTGGATTACGACTCTGGATTGCCCTCAAATAAAGCTGCGTTTGGATCGACATCTACAAGCCTCAGAGCAGTTCGTGACAGAAAACTACGCCACACCGAGATCCAGCAGCCATGCCAACAAGAAGCCCAGACGTCCAGATCTTGCGTCTCCGTCAGGAGAATCGGTCCGTCGAGGACTATGTTTCTGAGTTCATTGAACTGGCCCATTTCGCCTCAATGAGCACAGAGTGTTTAATGATCTTTTTCCGAGGAGGACTCTCTGAACCACTCAGTTCACTCATGCCCTTACACAATCGTCACGGGACATTAGAGGACTATATTAACCAGGCCCTTTTGCTAAGCGGTTCCTTGTTTACTGTGGGCGTTGTAGAGAAGGAGCTCCATGAACCCGTGGTATCTACTCAACCAGAGCTTCACGTTATGCCAGAGCTTCATGCCGAGCCCGCGCTCACCGTCAGCCCTGCCGAGCCTGCGCTCACCTTCCAGCCAGAGTCTCGTCCCGCCGAGACAGCCCAGCCTGAGTTCAATGTCAGCCCTGCCGAGTCTGAGCCTGTTCACGTCACTTCTGCCGAGACAGAGACGCTTCACGTCACTTCTGCCGAGACAGAGACGCTTCACGTCACTTCTGCCGAGACAGGGACGCTTCACTTCACTTCTGCCGAGACAGAGACGCTTCACGTCACTTCTGCCGAGACAGGGACGCTTCACTTCACTTCTGCCGAGCCAGGGACGCTTCACGTCACTTCTGCCGAGCCAGAGACGCTTCACGTCACTCCTGCCGAGCCAGAGACGCTCCACGTCACTCCTGCCGAGCCAGAGACGCTCCACGTCACTCCTGCCGAGCCAGAGACGCTCCACGTCACTCCTGCCGAGCCAGAGACGCTCCACGTCACTCCTGCCGAGCCAGAGACGCTCCACGTCACTCCTGCCGAGCCAGAGACGCTCCACGTCACTCCTGCCGAGCCAGAGACGCTCCACGTCACTCCTGCCGAGCCAGAGACGCTCCACGTCACTCCTGCCGAGCCAGAGACGCTCCACGTCACTTGTGCCGAGCCAGTGTCTCCGGACAAGATGGCCGCCTCCAAGCCAGTGTCTCCGGACAAGATGGCTGCCTCCAAGCCAGTGTCTCCGGACAAGATGGCCGCCTCCAAGCCAGTGTCTCCGGACAAGATGGCCGCCTCCAAGCCAGTGTCTCCGGACAAGATGGCCGCCTCCAAGCCAGTGTCTCCGGACAAGATGGCCGACCCAGTGTCTCCGGACAAGATGGCCGACCCAGTGTCTCCGGACAAGATGGCCGACCCAGTGTCTGCTCCCGAGCCAGTGTTTGTTTCTGTGTTTGTGACCATCTCTGTTCTAGTGTCTGTTCCTGAGCTGGTGTCTGTTCCTGAGCTGGTGTCTGTTCCTGAGCTGGTGTCTGGTCCCGAGCCGGTGTCTGGTCCTGAGAGGTCTTCTCCGCCGTGGCCGCCCGAAGGGTCTTCTCCGCCGTGGCCGCCCGAAGGGTCTTCTCCGCCGTGGCCGCCCGAGGGGTCTTCTCCACCCTGGCCGCCCGATGGACTGTCTGCTCAGCCCTGGTCTCCCGTCCTGCCGTAGTCTCCAGGTCCTCTTCTACTCCACGGACCTGGCCCTCCAGCCCACCCCCGGATCCGCCTCCATGCCACCACCCACCTGGACAGTTTTGGATCGTCTGGAAGCCGCTCATTGGGTGGGGGCTATGTAACGATCACCAGCTGGAGTACCCTCGAGAGCCACCAGAGGGTGCTCCAGATAGACTATGATCACTTCCTCAAAAACTACATTTCCCATCACGCACTGCCCGGACTCATTATCACCTGCGTCTCATCACCTTGTTTGTCTCTGATTGCATTCATCTGTTTCTCATCACCCTGTTAGTCCCTGTCTATTTATTCCATGTTCAAACACTCACTCAGTGCGTAGTTTTGTTTTAGTGTTACACTGCAATTCTGAGCATTCTTGTGGTTTTCTTGTCTCTTGGTTTTTTTTGGATATCTTGCCCTGTTTCCTGGATTACTCTCTTGCCTCTGGTCCCTGCCTGTTTGGTTTGTTTCTCTGTGTATCTGTTTTGGACTGCCTACCTGTGTATGACCCTTGCCTGTACATTGGATTACGACTCTGGATTGCCCTCAAATAAAGCTGCGTTTGGATCTACATCTACAAGCCTCAGAGCAGTTCGTGACACCTGGTAGTCGCTCAACCAAAAAAATATATAAATATAAATATTGAGAATCATGTTTTTTGGTTTCAAACAAAGACTCAATTCTAAAAAATAAAACAAATATTCTAATTTAGGTTCTGACGAAATGTTAAATGCTGCAGTCTATTTAAAATGTTTAATTAATCTGAATTATTTCAATGATTCACTCATAAATACTTGACTTGTTGTTTCATTACTGGATGACTAGCCTGGGAAAACCCAGACAACTTTTGGCAAATTTAGATTTGCTCTGAAAGTTAGTCTGGCAAAGAGCTCATTTAAGCCCATTTCCAATTCGTCAAAATCGCGGCACCAATCAGAAACGTTGAGGCGGGCTTTACGCGATGACGACAGCGTTGGGATTTTGAAGCAGATTTTTTTTAGCTTACATTACAAAGATGGATGCCGCCGTCGAACATCACTCGTTCGAATCAGCTATCGCGTCTGTTTTAAGCGATTTGAACGTTTCTTTTTTTTGTTAAAACCGAGCAAAAGAACAACACTCGGAGATGTTTTTTTTTATTTTTATTTTTTTATTTTTTTTTTTTTTTATTAAATGCTCGTAACACTCGGAGATGTTTCTCCGCCAGCCGCCGCTCAGCATACGTCATCTCCTTCATCGCTCTGATTGGTTTTAGGTCTAACCACGACGTTCGTTAGTGACACCCCTCTTGTCTATGACGCTTTGCCAGATCATAACTCAGTTACAACTGAGAATGGTCTGGTTTTAACCAGGCTACTGGATGACTGCATTATGTAACAATACGTAACAATGTAATTGACATAACCATTGAAGGAGATTTGCTTTATTTGACCTTTACACTTTCATTTGTGTGTGTTTATAGGGGAGGTACAGAGTGAGATTGAGAGGATCTTTGAGCTGGCTCGGACATTGCAGCTGGTGGTTCTTGACGCGGACACAATAAACCACCCAGCTCAACTGGGAAAAACTTCTCTTGCACCTATTATTGTCTACATCAAGATCACCTCTCCAAAGGTACACACATAGATAACTCACAATCATGGGTTTTTGTGTGAAAAACCTGTTCTTTTACTGACTATCCCTTGTGAAAAAGAAACTCACTTAAGCATAGTTTTAAAATGAGTGCTTATTACAGAAGTAATATCCTTTAAAAGAACGTATTTAAGTGCGAGACATTTAAACTTACTAGTTTAAATTCATATTAAATGCAATTAGCTAAACTTTAAAGTGCTTTTTGACTCACTTAAGTAGGACTTAAAGGTGCTATATGTATTTTTTAGCAGCCTCTATCAGTGATGTTTCAGATTGCAACCAATTTTTACAATTTTTACACTTGCTCATGCTCGGACACAAGTGCTTTCACTAACTATT